TATGTACACGATATGTGAGCACCAGTGGCTCTTTGGTTATAGTATACTTGCATATTCAACCTATAGTATAAGTTCCAATTCGCATAGGCATCTTCATTTTTTAGCAAAAGCATGGCTTGCCCAATGTCTAAAATAAACACCCTTTCTAGCATGATGGGTAAGACCCTACCAAATTCACGGCCATGAAAAACATGTCATAGACCATGAAATCTGATCTCCCCCATGAAATCTGGCTGTTGTATTCTACTCCCACTCATACTTGTGTGCTGGTGGTGGTGGCGGTGCTGGCTTCAGAGCTGGGCAGCCGAGATCAGCTGCTGGCTGGGAGCCCAGCTCTGAAGCCAGCGCCACCAGCAGCAGCAGCAGAGAAGTGAGGGCTAACCTTACTTCTGCACCGCTGCCAGCAGCAGCGCAGAAGGGTGACAATACCATACCATGTCACCCTTACCTCTGCGCTGCTGCTTTCAGAGCTGGGTGGCCAGAGAGTGACAACTGCTGGCAAGGTGCCCAGCTGTGAAGGCAATGCCGCAGTCAGCAGCGGTACAGAAGTAAGGGTGACAATATTGTGGCACCCACCCCCTAAAATAGCCTTGCGACCCCACCATGCATGATTCTTTTGGGTTGGGACCCCCATGATTACAACACACTGACAGTTCAGATTTAAATATCTGAAACCATGAAATTTACGATTTTTAAAATCCTTTGACGGTGAAATTGACCAAAATGGACATGAATTTCCTAGGGCCCTAATGATGGGGAAATCCAGAGATGTTAAAGGTTCCTGCCTTGACTGCTTACTTTTGAAGTAAAGGTACTTCCATGTAGTAGGCAAGCATTGAAGCAGAGAACTGAGACAGCTGATATGATGGACATTCAAAATATAGCCTGTGGTGTCATGTGTAACTGGAAAAAAAAATCTTACAGAAAAAAAAAAACACACACACACAAGGGCAAAGAGTAACCTTAACAAGTACTGGGGCAGCATGAACTTGCTACTGGAAGCCTCAAAAGTAGCAGCAATATTTGGATTTTTTTCTGTATGGGAGGCCTTTTTAAGGGGAAGTTGTGGGGGGAGTATATAGAGGCTAGTAGTTGTTCTGATTCATAAAGTTCATGCGGTGAGTGATAGCGCTCAGTGGTTTGAGCATTGGCCTGCTAAACCCAGGGTTGTGAGTTCAATCCCTGAGGGGGCCATTTAGGGATCGGGGGCAAAAATTAGGTATTGGTCCTGCTTTGAGCAGGCGGTTGGACTAGATGACCTCCTGAGGTTCCTTCCAACCCTGATAGTCTATGTTTCTATGTATTTCCTTTTCTTTCACTCAGCAATTCCCAGTATGGAATCATGTTATAAAGACATTATTAGAGCGGGATGGAAAATGGTGGTCCCATCCTGGGACATTTTTAGAGATTTTGAAAAAATTTCCTGCCCTGAACCCAGATAAAAAACCAATCTCAAAAATGTTTGTGAACTGACAATGGGGGGGGGGGGGGGGATTTAAATAAATAATTTAGTTGGGACAATTGAAATGTTTTAACATTTTCAAAATGTTTTGATTTTTTATCCTTTCCATTTTACTAGTTTAAATTGCAAAATAAAAATTTGTTTGGAACAAAAAACCCAGACATTTTCATCTCAGAAATATCAAAATGGGACATGGACATTGAAGAATTCTTGAAGAAAAAATTTAGACAAACTGAGAATTAGATCAAGGTCAACCATTTCTTGTGAACAGTCAGTTTCAGACCAAAAAAAAAAAAATCATCCTGACCAGCTTTACTAAAGATATTTATTGATAACTGAATCCTTACAAGTGTCAATAAATGTAATAATGAATATTCTGTTCCTAATTGGTGATGATGTAGGGCCAAGTTCTTCTTTCAGATATTATTCTACAGCACCATTGATGGGTGTGTGCTTTAGACTTGTAAGAATACATATCTATTCTATAGAGTTTAGAATTTATAATCTAGATTAGAGACATAAAAGGAGTGGGGGAAGAAGGGAATGGGAGAAATTACATGGAGTGATGTGATTTGGATTGTTTTGGCAAGTGTTTTTGCTTTAGTTGAGTCCAAAGCAGAGAGCAAAGAATTACAAAGGGATCTCACAAAACTAGGTGACTGGGCAAGAAAAAGGCAGAGGAAATTCAATCTTGATAAATGCAAAGTAATGCACATTGGAAGACATACTCACAACTATACAGACAAAATTTAAAAGTCATTGTGGATAGTTCTCTGAAATCCTCTGCTCAATGTTCAGAAGCAGCCAAAAAAGTTAACAGATAGTTTGGAACCATTAGGAAAGGGAGTAAGACAGAAAATATCAAAATGCCACTATATAAAATGCACGGTATTTTATATACCTTGAATACTGTGTGCAGTTCTGGGTCACCCCATTTCAAAAAAGATATAACAGAATGGGAAAAAATACAGAAAAGGGCAACAAAAATGATTGGGGGTATGGAACAGTTCCCATATGAGAAGAAATTAAAAAGACTGGGACTATTCATCTTGGAAAAGAGATAATAACTAAAGGGAGCTATGCTAGAGATCTATAAAAATCATGAATGGTGGGGAGAAAGCATATAAGGAAGTGTTATTTACCCCTCCACTTAATACACAAATCAAGGCTCACCCAATTAAATTAATAGGGAGCAGGTTTAAAATAAACAAAAGGAGAACTTCTTCACACAACGCACAGTCAACTTGTGGAACTCGTTACCAGAGGATGCTGTGGAAGCTAAAAGTACAAATGGGTTCAAAAAAGAATCAGATAAGTTCATGGAGGATAGGTCCATCAATGGATATTAGCCAAGATGATCAGGGATACAACCCAATGCTTTGAGTGTCCCTAACCTCTCACTGCTAGAACAGGGGAGGGTTCACCTGATGAAATTGCCCAGTTCTGTTCACTACCTCTGAAGCATCTGGCACCAGCCTCTGTCAGAAGACAGGTTACTGGGCTAGATGGACCACTGGTCTGACCCAGTATGGCCATTCTTATGCTCTTATTGATGCACAATCTTCTCAGACTGTGATCCTTAACGAAAAAGTTTCTTTAGGTAGAGTACATAAGAAAAAAACCTAGTAGATTTTTCATAATACCTGTGCTCTGCATAGTCTATTAGGACTCTGCATAATATTTAAGTTGTATAATCATAAACCACTTTTTGTAGCATGTTGTCTTTACAGTCCCATTGGATCAGAGGTGGGCAAACTACGGCCCACAGGCCACAACCGGCCCGCTCTTGAGCTCCCAGCCAGGGAGGCTAGCCACCGGCCCCTTCCCTGCTGTCCCCCCTTCCCTGCAGCCTCAGCTCACCATGCCGGCACGTGGCTGTGAGCTCCTGCCGGGCAACGTGGCATCATGGCTGCCAAACATGCTGCTCTGAGCGGCATGGTAAGGGGGTGAGGAATGGTGGGGTTGGATAAGGGGCTGGGAGTTCGGAGGGGGGGGCAGTCAGGGGACAGGGAGCAGTTGGATGGGGTGGAGGTTCGGGGGGGGGCAGTCAGGGGACAGGTAACGGGGGGGTTGGATAGGGAGTGAGGTCCTGGGGGGGGCAGTTAGGGGCAGGGGGGTCCTGGAGGAGGTGGTCAGGGGACAAAGAGTAGGAGGGTTGGATGGGTCGGGAATTCTGAGGGGGGCAGTTAGGGGACAGGAAGTGGGAGGATAGGGGGCTGTGGCCAGGCTGTTTGGGGAGGCACAGCTTTCCCTACCCAGCTCTCCATACAATTTCAGAGCCCCAATGTGGCCCTCAGGCCAAAAAGTTTGCCCACCTCTGCATTGGATCAACTGAAGCATCAGGCAACCCACATTTTCTGCAGTTAAGAAATCATAAAAATATGGATTAAATCTTTTTTTAAAATATAAGATATGGGCATTTTAGCCGATAGGACTGCAATATACAAATGAATTGTGCAACAGTGTGAGAGTATGATGACTGGCAGTTGCCTCTGATATGACCGTTCACCAACTAGGATGTGATAATACCCATCACGCAACATTGAATTCTTTGTAGGGTAGCCTCGAGTGGGGAAAGTGGGAGAAACAGGGAGACGAGAAGAAGAGCACCAGTATGATGGTTCTGGAAATCACTTCATGTTTCCTTACCTGTCATCTCCTTGAGATTAAAATAAGAGATGTATTAACCCAGTGTTTACTGGAACATACTGTAAACCAAGAAATCTATCTATATCTAACACACACAAAGGTAAAGCCATTAAACACAGCCACAAAGACAGGTTTCAGAGTAACAGCCGTGTAAGTCTGTATTCGCAAAAAGAAAAGGAGGACTTGTGGCACCTTAGAGACTAACCAATTTATTTGAGCGTGAGCTTTCGTGAGCTACAGCTCACGCTCTGCCATCTGGACGACAGTTATGCAACTGTGAACGCCAATGCTTCATACGGTTCGCATGTACTGGCCTGACCACCGGCACCGGCAGATCTCGAGAACACGAGGGTAAAAAAAGCCAGCCCACTCCCCCCACTGCGAGCAATGGAGGCGCTGTGGGCAGAGCTGCAGCCTAAGTCCCTGACCCAAAGTCTTCCCCAAGTGGCTCTGTTAGGTTTCTTCCCCAGCTGAAAGGAGCGGAGCAGGACACTCACAGCCAGGCGCCTTCACCATCTTTCTACAGTTTTTCTGGCTAGTATTTCAGGGGGCCGAAGATCCCGGTTCCGATTCGGGCCCCTCCCCTCCATGTCTCCCCAGCGCGCATCACGCTCACAGCCACCTTTCCTACCTGCCCGGCAAGGGCTGAAGCGCAAACGCCGGGCAGGAGACCGAGGAGACGAAGCTGAGGAGCCGGCTCCAGGCCGCTCTGGGTGGAGGATGAGCCAGGCAAGGCAGAGAGAGCCGCACACATCAGGCCGGCCGGCCGCTGCAGCCCCCCCGAGCCTCGGGCGGGTGGAAGCTGTCCACGCGCAGGGGTCGCTGCCGCCGCCGCCGCCGCCGCCCTCCCCAGACCCCCGCCAGGTGCCTCGCCCCGCCGGCCACTCACCGGAAGAAGGGGTCTTCCTCGAAGAGGTCCCTCAGCCCGCCGGCGCCAAACATGGCTGCGACTCCACTCCTCCGCCTCCCTCCCGACTCGCCGTGGCACGGCAGCTGCAGCCCCAGCGCAGGCGGCGAGCCCATCGGCTCCCCGCCGCCCGCCTCGCCCGCCGCCCACCAAGCTCACGTGAGGAGCCGCTCACGTCCCATTGGCTGCCACGGGCCTTGGCTGCCTCCCAATAGGGTGGGGGAACGGAGTGGGAGGGTGTCGTGGTGGGGCTGCTGCCCTGGCAACCGCTTTCAACACAAGGCCTGGGCTTGGGCTGCTGGCCAGGTCCAGAAGCTTCTGGCTCGGCTGGAGCCTCAAGGGCAGCAGGTTACGGGGGCGGACAGCACCATGACAGCAGGAGGGGAGCCCCTATGGTCGGGGGGACCGGGCAGGGCACCATGACAGGGGGGAGGGGAGCCCCAAGGACAAGGCACAGGACTGACACAGCAGCACAATAAAGTAGGTTGCAGCATGAGTACTTAGACACTCAGCACCAACGTATTAGGGGGACTAGAGCATAGGGATGGAAAACCATGAAGTAGGGAGGCCTGAGGGACGATTACCTCAGAGAGCAGCTCCAGAGAAAACTATGGTGCAGGGGCACTAAATAACCATATGGCCGCCTTGGGCCTCTTCTTGGGTGGAAGCACAGGCCTATGGAATATAGGAAGTCTAGGGCTACAGCATGTGGGGTTTCCAGCACCCAAAATGGAGTGCTATCCCCATAGCACTATTATACAGGGTCCCCAGTGCCATGGGCCAAAGAAAAGTCCAGGGGCAAGGGGCCAAGCAAACAGTGCACTGTAAGACAATGAAACAATGAAAAATAGCAGAGACTTGGAAAAATATATTCTGTAGCTAGGAAGTAATAGTCTATTTAGAGACAAGGAACAGAATTTGTGTAGGAAGTGGAGATGGGAACAATTTCCCTTCTTTCCACTTTCAAATTATTCATTATTTGTTTTACTCTAGCCCTAGGAGCCTTAGTCATAGACCAGGATCCCTGAGTGTTAGGCCCTTTGAAATGCAGACCAAAAAGACTGTCCCTGGCCCCAAGGCTTACAGTCTAAATACAAGTCAGTATAGATTTGTTCCTGTGCTTCTTTAGGGAGTTTCTTGAGCAGATGGAACAGGAACAAATTTACACTGACACACCCCTGGAGCTCTGACCAGGGGTATTCTATCTGCTACCTAAAATCCATAAACCTGGGAATCCGGACGCCCCATCGTCTCAGGCATTGGCACTCTGACAGCAGGATTGTCTGGCTGTGTAGATTCTCTCCTCAGGCCCTAGGCTACCAGCACTCCCAGCTATCTTCGAGACACCACTGACTTCCTGAGGAAACTACAATCCTTTGGTGATCTTCCAGAAAACACCATCCTGGCCACTATGAATGTAGAAGCCCTCTACACCAACATTCCACACAAAAATGGACTACAAGCCATCAGGAATAGCATCCCCGATACCATCACGGCAAACCTGGTGGCTGAACTTTGTGACTTTGTCCTCACCCACAACTATTTCAGATTTGGGGACAATTTATACGTTCAAGTCAATGGGACTACTATGGGTACCTACATGGCCCCTCAGTATGCCAACATTTTTATGGCTAACTTAGAACAACTCTTCCTCAGCTCTCGTCCCCTTACACCCCTACTCTACTTGCGCTACATTGATGACATCTTCATCATCTGGACCCATGGGAAGGAGGCCCTTGAGGAACTCCACCATGATTTCAACGATTTCCACCCAACCATCAACCTCAGCCTGGACCAGTCGACACAAGAGGTCCACTTCCTACACACTACAGTGCTAATAAGCGATGGTCATATAAACACCACCCTATACTGGAAACCTACTGACTGATCTACTTAACGACATGCCTTCAGCTTTCATCCAGACCACATCACACGATCCACTGTCTACAGCCAAGCTCTAAGATACAATCACATTTGCTTCGATCCTTCAGACAGAGACAAGCACCTACAGGATCTCTGTCAAGCATTCTTAAAACTGAAATACCCACCTGGTGAAGTTAAGAAACAGATTGACAGAGCCAGAAGGGTACCCAGAAGTCACCTACTACAAGACAGACCCAACAAAGAAAGTAACAGAATGCCACTAGCCGTCACCTTCAGCCCCCAACTAAAATCTCTCCAGCACATCATCAAGGATCTACAACCTATCCTGAAGGACAATCTCTCACTCTCACAGACCTTGGGAGACAGGCCAGTCCTCGCTTACGGACAGCTCCCCAACCTGAAGCAAATACTCACCAGCAACCACACACCACACAACAAAAATACCAATCCAGGAACCAAACCCTGCTACAAAGCCCGTTGCCAACTCTGTCCTCATATCTATTCAAGGGACACCATCATAGGACTTAACCACATCAAGGGCTCGTTCAACTGCACATCTGCCAATGTGATATATGCCATCATGTGCCAGCAATGCCCTTCTGCGATGTACATTGGCCAAACTGGACAGTCTCTATGCAAAAGAATAAATGGACACAAATCTGACATCAGGAATCATAACATTCAAAAACCAGTAGGAGAACACTTCAATCTCTCTGGTCACTCAGTAACAGACCTAAAAGTGGCAATTCTTCAACAAAAAAACTTCAAAAACAGACTCCAACGTGAAGCTGCGAACTGGAATTAATTTGCAAACCATCAGATTAGGCCTGAATAGAGACTGGGAGTGGTTGGGTCATTACAAAACCTAAACTTAATTTCCCCAATACTAATTTCTCCCTACTGTTACTCACACTTTCTTGTCCACTGTCTGTAATGGGCCACTCTCTTACCACTTCAAAAGTTATTTTTCCTCCCTTGGTATCTTGCTGTTAATTGATTTATCTCATTAGACTGACCTCACACTTGGTAAAGCAACCCCCATCCTTTCATGTATTTATACCTGCTCCTGTATTTTCACTCCATGCATCTGATCAAGTGGGTTCTAACCCACAAAAGCTTACGCTCAGATAAATTTGTTAGTCTCTAAGGTGCCACAAGGACTCCTCATTATTTTTGCTGATACAGACTAACATGGCTACCACTCTGAAACCAGTCTACAACAGTGATACTCAGACAGTGGCTCTTTAATGTGTCTCCTGCGGCTCTTTGTAGCACCTGATATTAAAACACTGTGTGATTTAATTATTAACCAATCTAAATTGTTAACCACTTGGTGCTTTTACTATGTTATTAACCAATTGTAGTTGATAAAATAATAATACTTGGTCATTCATTTTACTGAGAGAATAATATACATATATAATAAATAAAACAATTCATACTACTATGGCTTTTTTGGGTAATGTTGATTGCTATTTGGCTCCTGAACCACTGAGGTCTGAGTATTACTGGTCTAAGTAAAACAAGACATTACGGATGGAAACAGACAGATGGTGGGAGTAGCAGGAACAATGAGATTATATTGGTCCGCATGACAGGCTAGTCTCTTGCACACTAGTAGTCAAACTGTTGTCAAGTTTTATGTAGGCATCATGCCAAAGTTTTAGGGAATTTGAAGGTGGATAATGAGGTGGCTTTGAGGATATTTACCAAGAGCACCTTCCAAGTCTGTGGGGCAGCATGGGAGAAAGGATGAAGGTATCTAAAAATGTAACAAGTGGACAGTGAAGATTCACGCCATTGGGCAATCAAAGGCAAACACTGACAAATCACTGAGTCTCAGAATGTGAGACTTGGCAGGCACTGCACTAGAGTACTGGTTTTCTGTAGCTAAATACAAATAAATCTACTTGGTAACAACTTGCACAACAGGATATGTGTACACTCAGCTAGCCAGGGTTGTGAAATCCTTGACCATAGGTTCTTTATTCAGCAGTCCATTGTATATGTATGAAGGGTGGGTCCAGGATCTGTTCCTAAATTGGTAGTATCTGTCTGTGTCCTCAACTGCCTTTGACTTCAATGTTTCTTTGCTAGTTGGAGCTGATTAGTAAATATATGGTAAAGGTAATAAAATTATTTGTTTCAGAGGAACAACCGTGTTAGTCTGTATTCGCAAAAAGAAAAGGAGTACTTGTGGCACCTTAGAGACTAACCAATTTATTTGAGCATGAGCTTTCGTGAGCCACAGCTCACTTCATCAGATGTGTACCGTGGAAACTGCAGCAGACTTTATATACACACAGAGAATATGAAACAATACCTCCTCCCACCCCACTGTCCTGCTGGTAATAGCTTATCTAAAGTGATCAGCAGGTGGGCCATTTCCAGCACAAATCCAGGTTTTCTCACCCTCCACCCCCCCACACACAAATTCACTCTCCTGCTGGTGCTAGCCCATCCAAAGTGACAACTCTTTACATAATCAAGTCGGGCTATTTCCTGCATAGATCCAGGTTTTCTCACTTCCCCCCCACCCCCATACACACACAAACTCACTCTCCTGCTGGTAATAGCTCATCTAAACTGACCACTCTCCAAGTTTAAATCCAAGTTAAACCAGAATATCTGGGGGGGGGGGTAGGAAAAAACAAGAGGAAACAGGCTACCTTGCATAATGACTTAGCCACTCCCAGTCTCTATTTAAGCCTAAATTAATAGTATCCAATTTGCAAATGAATTCCAATTCAGCAGTTTCTCGCTGGAGTCTGGATTTGAAGTTTTTTTGTTTTAAGATAGCGACCTTCATGTCTGTGATTGCGTGACCAGAGAGATTGAAGTGTTCTCCGACTGGTTTATGAATGTTATAATTCTTGACATCTGATTTGTGTCCATTTATTCTTTTACGCAGAGACTGTCCAGTTTGACCAATGTACATGGCAGAGGGGCATTGCTGGCACATGATGGCATATATCACATTGGTGGATGTGCAGGTGAACGAGCCTCTGATAGTGTGGCTGATGTCATTAGGCCCTGTGATGGTGTCCCCTGAATAGATATGTGGGCACAATTGGCAACGGGCTTTGTTGCAAGGATAAGTTCCTGGGTTAGTGGTTCTGTTGTGTGGTATGTGGTTGTTGGTGAGTATTTGCTTTAGGTTGCGGGGCTGTCTGTAGGCAAGGACTGGCCTGTCTCCCAAGACTTGTGAGAGTGTTGGGTCATCCTTTAGGATAGGTTGTAGATCCTTAATAATGCGTTGGAGGGGTTTTAGTT